AAAAGTTACATATTATTAAAAAAATACGGAATGTTTTAAACCAAAAGGAATTAAATAAATAGCTATAGCAAAAAATGCGCGATTATAAAGGTTAAAAAAAGGCAATAATAATTTGTTAGCGATATAGCACGTGCGGCAAAACCGGATACAATGCGCGCATTTGCTAAAAGGAAATAAAAACGTTCGATATATATAATTCCGAATAATTTAAATGGATTTTTGGCGTTATTGGGTTAGCATGCGCATTAATTAACCGGAAATTGGGTGTAAGTGTTCCATTTGCTTATATGTTCCACTTATTTATAAACCACGTTATATCGAACGTTTTTACTTTTTCTTAACAAATGCGCGCATTATATTTGGTTTTGCCGCAAGTGCTATATTGCTAACAAATTATTGCATTTTTTGCTATAATTACCCATTTAGCTTTTGCTGGTTTAAAACATTTCGTATTTTTTTAATAATATGTAACTTTTTTTATTAAATACGTATCCTTTTAACTTTTTAGCGTTTGCTTAACGCTTTATTCGCTTTGCGTAATAAAGCAATTTTAATTTTAAAAAAAATTATTTAATGCATTATTAAATTCGTTTTTTTCGTAAATTAAATTATAATTATTAATATAAATAACGAAAAGTTATTTTAATAATTAAAAATTCGAATTTTAATGTATTTAAATTGCAAAGTTGCGTTTTTAACTATTTAAAGCATTTTGGAAATCCAAAGTTTAGCGTTATTTAAAAGCTTTTTCGGGGGAATTGGAATTTGTAACCTTACATTTAGCTTTTCCAAAACCGAATCCGGATTGAAAGGAGCAAAACCAGCTTTTTAAAAGCTTTTTTAAATGTTTTTTTCGGTTATAAAAGCAAAAAATGCCGTTTTAAATGCCGAAAAAAAATTAATTTTAATTACGTAATTAATTTATAATTTTATTAAACTTTCGATTTATTAATCGTACGTTTTTTTAACGGGTTAAAGCATTTAACGTTAAACGGTTAAAAAAAGCGAAAGCATATAAAGCGTAACGATATTGTATTTTTGGCAATAAAGTTCGAAATCCATTAAATAATAACTTTTATGCCCATTTAATATTAACAAACGATAAGTGCTTTTTGTGCGCGATATAATGTATTTATTAAAATGCTAAATCCATTTTAAACCAAATTCGTTTGTAATTGTTACGACCCAGCGGCAAAGCTGTTACCAAGTTACCAAAAAAGGCTTGGGAAAAGGCAAGAAGCGGGGTCGCCCCCTGGTTACGTAACCCAAACAGGTAATATGTTAAGGATTAACATATTAAGCGTTAAGGGTAATATAAAAGATATAAACATATTCCACATATTAACCTTTTAAGGAAAAATGCCTGGAGTATAAAAAAGGGGGGTTTCTTACTGTTTTAAATAGTTTTTAACAAATGCATTAACATTAATTAATTTAAGTTAGCTTTTAAGTAACCCTTGGAGCAAGCATTTAAGCCGCACCCAAGTTATCCTGTAAATCCCTTTAATTGTTAAGTTACGTGCTACTGTTTAGTACTCCTTTAATGCTTTACTTAAAGAGCAAAAGCTTAACTGTAACAGTAATTTGCCCGTTAGCATTTATTGCAATAATTTAATTGCGTAAAAGGTTAATTTCCAAATATTAATTGGTTAAATAATATTGCTTTTTAACAATAATAAAAAAGGGGATCGCTTAACCGTAAAAATTAACCTTTTAAATAATTATAACTCATTTTTAATTGTTAAGTTAAACCAATTTTGCTTTGCTACAACCTTTTAATATTATAATAACCATAACGGCGGCAATTATGCTTATAAAAAAATTAATTTCGTTAAAATTATAAATATTATTATTTAAAATGTTATATTTAATTACGATATTCCGTATAAAATCGAATTAAATAAAAACGAGCTTGGAATTTTTGCATTTAACCTTTTGGTAATTGTACTTTCGAATTTAGCGCGTGTTAAATTTTAAACGGCGTTTAACAAACCTTTTAACCCAATATTTGCTAACGGCGTTTACGTTGCGTTTGGCGAGCAATTAATTAATTATATTTTTAATATTAAAATGCTAAAAAAAATGCGCGAAAATCCAATTCGAATAACGTAATTTATTACCAAATTGGATATATTACCAAATCGAATACCAAATTTTAACTTCCGGTTAATTAACGCGCATTCCAACCCAATAACGCCAGCAATCCATTTAAATTATTTGGAATTGTACATATTAAATATTTTTACTTTTTTTAATAAATGCGCGCATTGTATCCGGTTTTGCTACAAATGCTATATCGCTAACAAATTATTATTGTTTTTTTTGTTAACCCTTATAATTGCGCATTTTTTGCTATAATTGCCCATTTAGCTTTTTTTGGTTTAAAGCATTTCGTATTTTTTCGATAATATGTACCTTTTTTTATTAAATACGTATTTTTTTGGCTTTTCGGCGTTTGCTTAATGCTTTATTTGCTTTGCGTAACAAAGCAATTTTGGCTTTAAAAAGGGTTATTTAATGCATTATTAAATTTGGTTTTTTTGCAAGCTGGTTTACAACCGTTAGCATGGGTAACGGAAAGCTGCTTTAATAATTGGAAATTTAAATTTTAATATATTTAAATTGCGAAATTGCTTTTTTTAGCTATTTAAAGCGTTTTAAAAATTTAAAGTTTGGGGTTGCTTAAAAGCGTTTTTAAAGGAATTGGAATCCGTAACTTTACATTTAACTTTTCCAAAACCAAAACCAAATTAAAAGGAGCAAAATTAACCTTTCGAAAGCTTTTTCGAATGTTTTTTTCGGTTATAAAATTAAAAAATGCCGTTTTAAATGCTAAAAGAAATTTAACTTTGGTTATGTAATTAATATATAATTTTATTAATTTTTCGATTTATTAATTATACGCTTTTTTTAACGGGCCAAAACATTTAACGTTAAATGGTTAAAAAAAAAAAAACATGCAAAGCGTAATAATATTATATTTTTAATAATAAAGTTTAAAATCCGTTAAATAGTAACTTTTGTAACCGTTTAGCATTAATAAACGATATAAACCTTTTATGCGCAATGCAATGTGCTTGTTAAAATGCTAAATCCATTTTAAACCGAACTTATTCGTAATTTATTCGTTAATATTTGTTAAAATAATTTAATTGCGTGGAAAATTGGGTTTTAAATACCAATTAGCTAATTGGTATTGCCTTTTAACGATAATAAAAGGGAAAATCGCTTAATCGCAACAATTAACTTTTTAAATAATTATAACCCATTTCCGGTTGTTAAATTAAATTAACTTTATTTTATTACGGCTTTTCGATATTGTAATAATTATAACGGCAGCAATTATGCTTATAAAAAACCCGGTTTCGTCGAAATTGTAAATGTTATTATTTAAAATGCTATATTTAATTATAATATTCCGTATAAAATTAAACCAAGCAAAAACGAGCTTGGAATTTTTGCATTTAACCTTTTAATAATTATATTTTTAAATTTAACGCGTACCGAATTTTGGGCGGCGTTTAACGAACCTTTTAATTTAATACTTGCTAATAGCGCCCGCGTTGCGTTTAACAAGCAATTGGTTAGCCATATTTTTAATACTAAAATGCTAAAAAAAAATGCGCAAAAATCCAATTTAAATATGTATTTAACAAGCGCTTCCTTTTTGGATTCCGTTAATTTCCAAAAATTGAATTTATTATTGAGTTGAATAAATTGGCCGCAACGTTAATTATTTAATGTAAAAATGGAAATATTGTAAAGTTTTGCTGCAATACGGGTGCCAAGCTTTAAATTATTTTTTATTGCTTTAAAAGCAAAAATTATTTTGGATTTTTTAAATAACGAATTTATCGCGTTTATATTAAAATGTGTAAATGGGAAATTAATAAAACGCGTTGCGTTTAAAATTGTTCGATTCGATAATATGTTCGATTTGGTAATAAATTACGTTATATATTTAATAAATGCTTTTTTTTTAAATTTCGTTAATTTCCGAAAATTGGGTTCGCTATTGCGGCGAATAGGTTAACCACGCTTCCGACGCATTAACGTCGATTTCGCAACCGAATAAATTTTTGCAGCGTTCCGGATGGTTAATTTTGGGTCGGATTGCAAAGCCCGGAAGGCAAGGATTACCCGGTTTTTATTGCTTCCGTTTAATATTATTATGGGTAAAGAAATTGGTTGCGAAAAAAGAAGTGTCGCGTTGTCGCGTTGCGTGTCCCATTCGGTAATAAACCACGTTAATCTTTTTAACAAACTACAAATTAAAAACCTTAAGGGGTACAAGTAAATGCTTCGGGTTAGTTATAAAAAGGGAAAATTTCCTTTTGTTTTAAATAGTTTTTAATTAAGGCTCCGGCATTAATTAATTTAAGTTAGCTTTTAAGTACCCTTTAAAGCAATTATTTAAACCGCACTTACGATACCTGTAAATCCCTTTAACCCCAATGTTATTTAACAAGTTACGTGTTACTGCTTAGTACTCCTCCAAGTGCTTTACCTTAGGAGCAAAGGCTTAACTGTAACAGGAAAAATCGCTTTCCTACAATTGTAAAGCTGCAGAATTAGGCTTGGGCCTTTATTCTTTGCCGGTAAGCTCGCTTAACGGGGGAAAAAACTCCCAAGTTGAAAGGTTGCAAAACGTAAAAGGAATGAGGGGGTAAATATAAGAAATAAACGTCGTTCTGGAAACATAAATATTGGAAAGCCTTTGTTACGTAGGATCCGTGCCCGTTTAGGATTAACAAACGTGGTTAAAGGGGGTCCGGCCGGGTGCGAGGGAAATAAATCTTTTGCAGCCATTTTACCGCCGTACGGTTAAAAGTCCAGCCGTTTTTTGTTATAATAAGCTCCCAATCATTAAAAAAGCTTTGTTAACCCGGAAACCATTAATTTTGCAAGTGTTTTCCTTTAAAAATAATAAGGAGAGGAAGCCGGTCCCTTATGGCTAATATGCACTCGATAAACGAGGTTTAAGCACGAAATTGTTACAATTAAGCCTTTGCCCCTAAGGTAAAGCACCTAAAAAATATTGAGCAGTAATTATAAATTGGGGTTAACAAAAGGAATTATTAGGTTTTGGGATATTGGTTTAAACGCTTGCTCCAAAAGGTATTTGGAAGCTAATTTAAATTAATTAATGCCAATGCATTTATTAAAAATTATTTAAAATAGTAAAAAATTCCTTTTTATATATTATGGCTAAATGGCTTTAAAATACATGCTTATAATTATAATATATTTGTTATATTTGCAACCAAATATATTACTTATACCTATATAATTGCTATATTTGCTATATCGCATAGCAAATATATTACTTATACTTAAGCACATGCTTATGTAACCCTTACGTGCCCTTGTGCGGGGCGCGCGACCCGAATGTTACGGTTCCTGGTGGTCCCCGCCTTCTAGGTCTTTGCCTGTGACTGCGGTCGTAACACAAATGCTAATATTTAAATAGTTGAGGTTACAGTGCAGCTTTAAAGGGGCATTGAACACGAGTTCGCCCGCCAGGTTTAGGAGGGGGCTGTAAGGTACGGAACCTCGTCCGCGCCTGCCGAAACAGTCCTACATATGGGGAAATGCCAGCAGTCTCATATCAAGAACCAAAGTGACGGCTGCGAGGCTTGCAAGAAAATCCCTCGAAAGTAGAATCTCCTCCTCGATGACCCGGCACACGCATGCCGCAACGGGGATCTTGACCTATTCTCCGAAGCCCAACGTCCAAGCTAACATATCTGCCTCAGCTGCGTAGTCCCACATACCGCTACAAGATTCAAGACCAACCGGAAAATTTAAAGTAAAAGAGCACGCGTCACAAGCCTCAGTATGACGAACACACGGCCCTTGTCCCCGGGAATAGCGTATCACACTTTTCGTTCGTAAAGCCGTCCCGAAGCTTACTGTTGCACACAAAGGAGCACTGCCATCCAGTTAACCATTCGATTATATACACCCCGAGAGCCACATCAAGCCACACCAGGGCGGCAAATACTTACCAAGAACCCATCTTGAGGGTTGCACATATCCAACATCCACTCGGAGGCATCGGCAACGGGACACTGTTTCCCCTCACCCCTCGTATAATATCCCTTCCCGTCCCACGACACGCACGCACACTCCCATCACCTATTGCAGGAGCGGGAACCCTGACTTGCTACAATCTGCTTCCCCGCCAATACTTCCCGCTCTGTCGTGTTCTCCCTCCCCAGAGTCGTGTCCCCTGGGTATGTGTCCGAAGGTCCCGCACACATCGATCCCGTGTATTCGGAGCACTTGCCGATGGGAAACGTAAACACAGGGGCCAACGTGCAAATCAATTGGCCGTTTTGGCAAGTCATTGGCAGGTCCCTGGAACACTTGAGGCCGTTTGCGCATTGGAGGGGCTCAGGCGACATGGGGGCCTGTGAACATTGGAGTGCTCCATGGAGTTGAGCTGAGGGGGCTGGGTGGGAGATGACAGGCGTGATGAGAAGGACGGTTGGGAGGAGGATGGTCGGGAGATGCATCTTGAGCTGCGCGTGGGTACCTGCTGACGGTAGATAGTGGCGAATGACTAGTGCACGCAGGTTCAAGGACGACTGCTTGGGCTTTGAGAATGCTTGAGGGTGCTGCTAGTAAGGCTAGCGGAAACCCAAAAGACCCGTTTGGGGCGGGGACCCATTTGGGCCATTACCCAAAAAAGGACCCAATGGGTCTTTTTTTGGGGGTTTTTGGGTCCAAGCCGGACGCAAAACCCACGGGTCCAAACGGGGACCCGTTTGTGGGTTTTCGCCAGCCTTACTCTCGGTATCCATCGTCGCCCCTCTCTCTTGGCGTTTTCGAGCGGAGGGGGTTCGACCGGTTGCGAGACGCCGCGGGGCCGGGGCAGCCGGCTTTGCCAGCCCTATCGGCACGGAGGCTTCCAAAGTGATGAATTAATAGCCAACGATCGTCTTTAATGTGGGGGAGGACCCTTAATGGCTCCAGGGAGGCAGATAGAGACCTATACAGCCGCCACGGATCGTCTCGCCGCTTTGCAGCGCCTCTTGTCAACGCATGGGTCCGCGGTTACGGCGGCTGCACAGCGTCTGGCACCCGGTATTCATCCTGCCGGATTGCGAGGAGGCGGGCGGGGCGTGTCTGGAATTGAAGGCAGCGTGGCCGTGATGCGCGGCCGTGCCGGTATCCAGCCGACAACACAGTGACTACATCACATGAAGCTGCTCGCAGTTGGCGGCACGCCTCCATCTCTCGCCGTGCGTTGCGATCTAGTGGTCTGCCCAAAGCTGCGGCTGGGGAAGGCGTTCCTGCCAAGGTGTCCTGCTGCAGCCCGAGGCGAATATGTGACTTTGTCGCTGGAGCTGGCAAGGAGCGCGCAACCTCACGGGGCCATCTTCAACCAATATCCCTGGAGCATACAAATGGAGAGGGCGTCTTGATGGGGCTTTGTGGTGGTTTGAGCCAACGCTAGAAAGGTTCCAAGACCCGCTGCGAGGAATATTGCACATAAGGAGCTTGCTCCATCATCTCAACCGCTGGCCGGGGCTCCATTTGAGACCACCACAGCGGCGAATGACCCGATGATGGCTTGCATCGATGTCGCTAGGGCGAGCAAGGTTGCATCGGGTTTGGCTTCGGGAACTCAGAAAATTCGGCGAGGGCGTCTGTAAAAACTCTTCAGGGAGAGGTGGAATGACACTCCCTCCACCTTGGTAGGCTGTTAGCGGAGAGTTCTCATGACAGGCTCTGGCCGGAAGAGATGGGAAACTTGGGAAGTTGAGACTCATGACCAGCTCTAGATGGTCCACTCAACGTTAAGGCTTACCGCCGCACGGTCCCAAGGGGCTTGAGCTTTCGGAGCCCTCCCTGGAACACCAATATGGAGGAAGCCATGTTGGTGTGACAGCAAGGGAAGTCACAGCAGCTGTCGTGACACTCATCTCCCGTTCTAGCCAGCGGAGTTGCTTGGGAGGAAGATTAGCTGGTAGATCAGGGGCATTGTTGTATGGTGGTGAAGCTAGAGGGTGTGCGAGGGCGCACATGAGGCAAGATGGCTCGCTCGGCGGTGTACGAAGCGTGTGTCCGCCAGCATCAAGGCAGGATGGGGATGGGAGGCGGCCATGGAGATCGTGAACCGATGGTGCAAAGGTGCGAGATAGGGGTAAATCAGCATGACGTGCATAGTGCCAGCTTGAGGCTGAGCTCGAACCGTGTCCTCCTGCTGGAAACGTACAAGTACTGTTCAATCGTGCTGTCTTGGGTTTTTGATCGGCGCGCGAGGCTGAATCTTGTGTGCTCGTGCTCTGCTGCTGTGCCCCTGTTGGCCCGTGCGCACTCGGCCTGGATCTGGTCTCACATACGAGGCTGAGCCACTGGCCCAGCGAGTAAGCAGTACCATACAAACTGAATACTGAGCTTCAGCAAAGGAGTGATTGAATATTCCACTGTCATATCTCTCAAGCCTGGAAGATTGGCTATGGGTCCTATTTCCTCTGCTACCTTGGTTAGTAACTCCCTCGTAGCAGAGAACAAGCTTGAGGCTCGTATCCACGTAGAAGAAAGCAATAGGATACGAGCCACGGGCCTCGGTTGGCATAAGACACTCGGCTCTTGTATCGCGTCTGGCAGACAGCCTTGGATGGCCTGTCTCTCAGTCACGCGGAAAGCACGGAAGCAAAGCGGCATGGTGTGATCTTTCAAAGGTTGAAAGGGAGTGCAAGAAGCATTCCCGGGGGTCGAAGTTCCTCAATACAGAACAGGTCTGCTGCAATTCAAATGCAAGCCTAGATAGAAGTCCAAGCCACCCACGACGCTCATTCTTGTGGTGCTACTCCCAGCCTCATGCATCCAGACCCCTAGAGAAGCAAGATCTCGGATGTGCAATTCCGTGACACGAGTGTCTTCTTTTGCCCGCGCTTGTTGTAGATCTAAGCATCCAAATCCTACGCATGGAGAAAGCAGTTTGCTGTATCAGGTACCACAGGGCGAGGCAAGAGCATGGGGACGACGAGCAATATAGGGACCCCGCCTATAACTAGGAACTTGCCATCGCTATCTCCATATCTACGCGCCTGATCTCTCTGGGAAAGAGGTTGGTACGAGGCATGCGTGGGTGGTAGGCTCGCAGAAGACGCTGCGGCTGAGCCATGACGTAGCTCCAGATTCTGGTCATGGCCTCCCGCGGTCCCAACAAGCAACTACAGAGCAGTCCTCCGCTGGATAGCGGTGCCATGCCCAACACACCTGGATGCAAACTTGGGCAAACCATATATCGAATACTCTCAATATCAGGATGAAGGCCACTAATATGAAGTCTCCCAAGTATCTCCGGATATACAATCTGAGGCAGAGGTATCTCTTGGCCACCCTAGATCACCCTGCGCGTATTCATAGGCGCTGGGGAGTGGACCAAAGGGTAGCTACGTCATATCTACCAGAGCCGAGCCGCTGGTGCTGGCACATCTGCCAATATCAAGGCCTGCCAGCACACTGAGCTTCCTCCCCTCTGCTCACGGGATCAGGCCACAATATCAAGGATGACGCACTGCTGGCGCCTGGGCAACGGACTTAATGCCCCTCCTCCTGCCACGCTCCTTCCTTCCCTCGCCCCCGTCATGAGAGGAGGAGGGGCACGCGCCCAATATCAAAACAATCAACCCAGACCCCTGCTCCTTCCAGGCAGCCACAACAGTGACCCGGGCGGTCTGAGAGGGCTATTGCGTCACTCTCAAAGAGACAGCCCCGAGCCAGCCAATCAGAGGCTCTGATGTCGAAATCACCATCTTTTTCTGCAGATCAGAAAAGGAACTGCGTGCCAAATCAGTAGGCGAGGGCAGAGAAAATCCTGGGTATGAATTCAGGGTTCAGCAGCCCTCCCTTCCGTCCTCCAACTCTCTCCCCCGACACAAAACTTTTCACAACAATCCTGCCCATCCGTCAGATATCACCACCACCATCCAAACATCGCGGCAGGTTGGCATCTTTGCCCGACTCTTCTTCATCATCTCCATCATGGATAAGATCCAAGACTTCCCTCTTCATCTCGACGTCGACCACTCTGACATTTTATATCTAGGTCCTACCTGGCACCCTTCCGTTTGCCATCATCTCCATCTCCATTCCCGGCCACCTCTGGCACGCGCTTCTGTATCAACATCATGGCACAGTTCAATTCCCCTACTCCATTCCCATGTCGATGATTCTGGCGCCTCATCTAGGACCTCGCTGCCCTCCCACTTCTTGCCGGCACGTCGCGCCCATCCCGCGCATATCCTTTGTAAGTACCCCCATCCGCCATCCATTTCCGCTTCATGAAACACCAAGATAACTCGACAAGTTCCGCGCCAGGCCACAGCTACACACCTTCAACATTTTCGCTCCCTTGCTCCATTCAGCTAAGTCTTCCCTTTCCCGATATCAACACCTCATTCCCGCTCATGATCCATCGCTGACCTTGCCAATTGTCCGCCGCGGCATTTCTCCATCTCCGGTAATGTCTTCCCAGCACAATCCCAGATTTTCTTCCGTCAAGAAGCCTCGATGATGACCAAAAGTCTCTGTATCGCCTTAGGGTGGGCACATCTGCTCCAGCATTTGACATGTCCACCCCGTGATAAAAAACCCATGACCAACCTGAGAGGCTCTCCATCAAAGGCGTCGCGCTAACTTCTTGCCTTCCTCGTCTTAGTAAGTTCCTTCTCCAGAATCCGTCTGCCTCAGCTTTTTTTTCCCACGTCATTTCCTTGCGACTCCAAGTCACGATGATGATTTGTCTATTAATCGTAGGATGGACTTGGCCTTTGGCTTGCCATTCGGCGCTTCCACCCCGAGACCGTTACATTTTAGACTGAGAGACTCTGGACCGCACATGGCAGCTCGCTGCTTTCCCACCCTCCCTACACATCGCGCCTTCTGCCCACGATTTTCTTTTCACACTCTGCGAACAAGATGCTAACTCGCGAACACGCAGGATCTCCTCCTCAGCCTGCCTTGACATGGCCATTGCCATTTGCCGCTCAAGTGAGCCCGCCGCCTGCGCAAAACGTGTTCGGCCGTGGTATACCGGTCATCAGCCACCACATTGTCCCACAATCCATCCCGGCACCAACCTCCGCCTCCGCCTTGGCATCTATATGATAGCAGTGCTTTCATGGTGCCAGGCTGGTCTCAAAAGTCGCAATGATGAAATTGGTTTTTCTCCGAGGGGCACTCTCACCTGGCCTGATTTTCATGTACAGGTGCGAGCCCCGCTGACGAGAAATAATCTCTGAGCGACTCTTCCATCATGCATTCTTGGCTCTGGCAACTCGCAGCCAGCCAGGTTTGTTCATCTTGACACACGTCCATCTCCAGTCATTTAAGCTGCAGTGCAGCACCCTCTCCCTTGTGCTTGACTTTGGCACATCGCGATGATGAGAAATGTTATGTTCCGAGGGCAGATGCGTACCTGGCACGGTTTTCATGGACAGGTCCGCAGCCCGCTGAAGATCATAGGGCGTGTTCTGAGCAACGCTCTTCCCCTCAACAGCCTGCGCCCCTGTGCTTTGATTTTAGCACATTGCGATGATGATACATACTCTGTTCAGAGGGCAGACGCGCTCCTGGGACGGTTTTCATGCCCAGGTCCGCGGCCCGATGACGCAACAAGGCGTGGTCTGAGCGACACTCTTCCCTTCAGCAGCGGCCGACTGGCCAGAGCATCGCGGCGAGTACCCTCGTCTCCCATTCGCCTTTGCTTCTTTCTCCCCCACCATCTCTACCTCTTGCCCTGCCTCACTCTGGCAGGTTACACGCGATGATGATCAAATTCTCGGTCAAAGGGTGGCCGTGCCTGCAGGTTTTCATAGTCCAGGCTCGAGCCCCCGATGATGAGAACATCTGTCCAAGATCTGAGCGAATTTGTTTTCTGCTATTGGCGTCCCGACTGATGCCGCTTGAGAAGAATCCAAGTCACCCCTCCACCTTTCCTAGAATCAATCCCTCCCTATTCCGCCTTTCACTTTTTCTGTCGGTTCCTCGCGATGATGATCAAGTCACAAATCAGAGGCCGACCCGGCCTGGGAGGTTTTCATGAACCAGGCTCGGGCGCGTCTTGATGATGACATCTCTCCCAGATCTGAGCGACCTTTTTTGCTGCGATCGGCGTTTTGACTACCGTCTTTTGGTAAGTTCCCATGTCACCCCTCCACATTCCACTAAATCTCTTCCATTTCACCTTGAGCTTTTTCCCCCGTTCCTCGTGATGATGATCACCTAATGTATCAAAGGGTGGGCGCGCCTGGGAGGTTTTCATGAACCAGGCCCGGACCCCCGATGATGACGATATCCCTCCAAGATCTGAGCGAGCTTTTCTTTGCTGCGATCGGCGTTTGGCCTGACGTCTCTTGGCAAGTATCTGACTTACCCTCTTCTCCATTCTAGCCCGCCTCGAATTTCACCAGCAGCTGGCTGCGATGATGGTCACGTCACTGCTCAGAAGGGCGGCCGCATCCGGTTGGTTCCCATGTCCAGGTGCGAGCCCTGATGGCAATGACGACATCCCTCCAAGATCTGAGCGGCCTTCCTCTACGAGCATTGCCTCAGCTGGCGCCTGTCGGGAAGCAACTATGTGAGTTATACCCACCCTCATCCTCCCCTCCTCCAGAATTCCTTTCCCCGCTCCGACTGCCACATGCAGTTGTTCGCGATGATGATCACGGCACTCTTCGAAGGACGGCCGCACCTGGTCGGTTTTCATGTACAGGTGCGGTCCCCGATGATGAGACATTCTTCTCAGATCTGAGCGATATTCTTTTATCAACAACGCCTCAGCTGTCGCTACTCGTTGAACATGAGAGTCACCCCCCC